AAAAGAGAATAACACTGCATAACAATGGGTAAGCAAGTCAAACAAGTTATTATTATCATTCAAAATGTTTAGATATTAGTGTTTTTTTTTAAATGGAGATTCAAATTCTCTCTTTCTTGTCTGTAATCTACTATACAAGAAACTTAAAAATGCTTTGTTTAACTTAATCTCTACTTGGTTTTTCTTTTTACTGTAAAGTCTTTCATTATCCATCTTTTGCTCGTTGTAGTAGCGTGCATATTAATATCTAAAATTGTCATCTTATTCAAGAAATTGGGGTGGTTTTGAATTGTCACGACCTCGATTTTACATGACCAATAATGTGTGGCTTTTAATGTCAATTCCAGTCTTGTGGGGGAAGAGGTTGTTAAAAATATAATGAGATCCTTTAAGCACAGTTAGTTGTAGGATGGAACCTTAATTATTGGCACCGTCAAAGTAGTTTAGATCTTTTGCTTTTGTTGAACATTTGATGCATTTCCCATTACCAAACGTGGAAAGATGTGCTAATTTAACATGGTGTTTAGGAGTGAGCCTTGGTGAAGGAAGCGGTGCAACGATGTCAGACGACGACGACGACGACGTTCCCATCGAGTTTTCGCTTGATCAATCTGGTGGTGATGCACATGACATGATGGGGTTTGGACCGCTGCTTCCAACCGAATCGGAAAGGTCGTTGATGGAGAGGGTTCGACAAGAATTGAAGATTGAGCTAAAACAGGTCCCTTTTATATGGTCTTGCAAATGATGGGATGGTTTGTTTGGGATTTAGAAGGTGTCAAGAACGTGATGGTATTTTGGTTGCAGGGATTCAAGTCAAGAATTGAGGATGTGAGAGAGGAGATACTGAGAAAAAGAAGGGCAGGGAAGTTGCCTGGTGATACAACCACAGTATTGAAGAACTGGTGGCAGCAGCATTCCAAGTGGCCATACCCAACGGTAAGGAAAAAACCAAACCCAACCATTTCATTTGTAAACAAAGAGTTTTGAAGTTGGAATCTCTACAACATCTCGTCTTTCCTTCGCGATTGCAGGAGGACGACAAGGCGAAGCTGGTGGAGGAGACGGGGTTGCAGCTGAAACAAATAAACAATTGGTTCATCAACCAAAGGAAGAGAAACTGGCACAGCAACTCTCAATCAGTAACATCCTTGAAGTCAAAGCGCAAGAGATAAGGAAATTATATGATATGTTGTATCGTAGGTTTGGCAAAAGTATGTTCTGACAGAAAATGATGGGATTAGGTTACTGTAAAATGAGGTTAGAGAGATTATTAAGGATTGTGACACAGATTGGATTGGCTTAACATGTTGTCTTTTTTTAAGGTTGTAAATTGTTGCCTTTTTAACACATCCATTTTTACATTACTTCTGCTTTCATTTTTTGGATTTTCTCCCATATTATCCATAATTAATTTTATGAAACCAGGTATTGTTCTTATGTCATAAATGTTAATTATACGAATCTCATCATTTCTAGGTTAAAAGATTAAATATACTCACTTATATACTCTTTTCTCTTATTATATAATACCCTAATTTTTCACTTTAAATTTATTTTAGTTTTTTTTATGGAACTCAAAACAATATATTTTAAATTTCAATAATGCTTTCCTTTCACTTTTTAAAAAATATTCGGTTCAATAAAATAAACACATTTTTATTTTTGTAAAAATAAAATCCTAAGGACCGAAAAATGTCTACCCATATTTCATAGATTATTTTCAAACATAAATAACATTGATTCGTAAATATTTTTCAAAGATTTTTTGAATTTCTTTTCTAAAAAGTTTAAAAGGGTTTAGAAGTTTTTAAAATAATTAATGGCTATTAATAAAACTTTTGAAAATGGTATTTTTTATTTTTTAAAATTTTAATATATTTTTTAGATTTATTTGGAGGTGGAAAGGTATTATTGAAAATTTGGAAGTTTTTAAAAACATATTTCAACCGTATTTCAGTTAATTTAGCCATAAACGTAATACTCTGGCTAAATTGAAATAACCTTCTTCGGATTAATTGGAATGTGAAAATAAAAAAATAAAAAAAAAGAAAAAAAAATAGACAGAGACACCCTTTTGTTTTGTTCAGATTAATAAGGCATGTCTATGGACACGGCATGCGTGGGCTGTAAGGGCCCAATTATATGGGCTCCCGAGGCTGTGATGGGCCTCACATCCAGAAAATGGTCCATTCCTCATAAATTCACGTATGTCACCCTTTTTACTAAATATTTTGGATAATCAAACCCAAGATTTAACACAAATTTAAAATAACAAAGTTAGCATTTTAAGAGCGTTTAAAATGTTCAAAGAAAAAAAAAATGTTGTGAAGGTCATCCCAATGAAATAAATAGTAAATTATTTGATTTTGAATTCGACTAAAATCTTAAATATTTATAATTAAAAAAAGGGGAAGGAAAACGAGTTTGAATTTCGAAAAAAGGAAAATAGATTTTAAAATTATTAATCAAATATAAAATTTGGGATAGCTGTCTTGGAAACAAGAATGGAATATAATCCAATCATTAATTAAGACGCTACCTCGTCACTGCCACGCTGTACATCGTGCTTCTATTTACCGACACCGACAAAGCCCAATCTACTCCACCTTTTATTTTATTTTATTTTTTCTTTCAAAAACAAAATTATTAGATTTTGATTAGAGATAAAAGAACTTATTATTATTTTATTATTTTTTGTTGTAATAAATGGAGTGACACAAATTTAAAAATTAGGTAACCTTAAAAAAAAAAAAAAAAAAAAAAAAAAAAAAAAAAAAAAAAAAAAAAAAAAAAAAAAAAACACGGACTATTCTCTAGGTTTTGTTCTGTCTGAAAAAAGAAAAAATGCTGAAAAGGTTTGGAATTGTTTCAGATCGAGGAACAAACTTGTAACTTTAAGGAGAGAGGTTGCTTGAATTTTGATTTGGCAGTTAAATTTTGGAATCGGAAATTTCTTTTTCTAATTCATAAAATTCACACCCCACGTTAATTCAGCCTGAAACTGAAAGCGAAATATTAGTTTTTAATTCGCACAAAAATGTGTGTGTTTTGAGTGGGTATTCTGTGTTATATAAATCTTCAGGATTCAGATTGAAGAAGTGGTTCAATTCTCCCATTTCCTCGGAACCTCTTCTTCCTTCTTCTTCCTTCTTCTTCTTCTTCTTCTTCTTCGTCATCCTTCTCTTCTTCTTCCATGGGTATTCTCGCTGACAGTGGCTCAGGTCCTCTCAAGTTCTTGATTTACGGCCGGACCGGCTGGATTGGCGGTTTGCTTGGCCAGCTCTGTCAACAACAGGGGATCGATTTCGTGTATGGTTCCGGCCGCCTCGAGAACCGCACCTCCCTCGAGGCCGACATCGCCGCCGTGAAGCCCACCCATGTCTTCAACGCCGCCGGCGTCACCGGCCGCCCGAACGTCGACTGGTGCGAATCGCATAAGGTCGAGACCATTAGAACCAATGTGGTCGGAACCTTGAACTTGGCCGATGTGTGCCGCGAGAGAGGGTTGATCTTAATTAATTACGCCACTGGCTGCATTTTCGAGTACGATTCGGCGCATCCTCTGAATTCGGGGATTGGATTCAAGGAGGATGAAATCCCTAATTTCATTGGGTCATTTTATTCCAAGACTAAAGCCATGGTGAGCCCTAGATTTTGACTGCTTCATTGTTGTTTGATTATTGACTGATTTTGATTCTGTATGATTCGTAGATGCGTTGTGAAATTTGACTGTAGATCTATGATTACAGAGTGAATGGCTCTGTTTAGAGAAATCATAACTGAAATCAGCCATGTATGATTGTTCTTGGGGTGGAGTTTGTGAATGTTCTTTAGATCTGGATTGTTGTCTTTAGAATGTCTTGAATTTCTGTTCATTGATTTCTATTCGATGAGAATGCATCAAATATATTCCTTGAATCTGATGGGCGGATTCTACTTTCATGTTACTTTCACATTTGGGGGATTAAAAGGTGGAGGATCTGCTAAAGAACTACGAGAATGTGTGCACATTGCGCGTTAGGATGCCGATATCCTCCGACTTATCGAACCCTCGCAACTTCATCACAAAGATAACTAGATATGAGAAGGTGGTCGACATCCCGAACTCGATGACAATCTTGGATGAACTCCTGCCGATATCGATCGAAATGGCAAAAAGAAATCTCACAGGAATATGGAATTTCACGAATCCAGGAGTGGTGAGCCACAATGAGATCTTGGAGATGTACAAGCAATTCATCGACCCCAATTTGACATGGAAGAACTTCAGCCTGGAGGAGCAAGCCAAAGTGATCGTAGCTCCTCGGAGCAACAACGAGATGGATGCGACCAAGTTGAAGACCGAATTCCCGGAGCTGTTGTCCATCAAGGACTCCCTGGTCAAGCATGTCTTCAAGCCAAACCAGAAAACTTCTGCAGCTTAGAATCAATCAATCAATCAATCAATCAATCAATGGTATTTGCCTTCTCTATATATTTTTCATTTGGCATTTGGGTTCTTGAATTTCAAATATTTTCCGTGTTCGTTCCCATAGGAGGTAGACGTTAAATTATGATCCATTTTTGAATCCCATATCTACTAGTTTTTTGTTTGTTTGTTTGATGGTAAACACAATGTTGAATAAAAGTAGAGTGAAAGACGAAGATGTAGCATTTGTGGTGGTGCTTTATGAGATATGATTTCAGTTTATCTTTAATCAAGGTATCAATGTTCTTAATATTACATCAACTTTTAACTATTTAAAGCTCTTATTCTATTATTATGATGCCAATTTTAATTGCATTTTATTATTCTTCTTTATAAATTTATTAGTTGAGGAATTAACATTTAACAACATAATCATATGTTAATTTAAAAATAAATTAAATAATACTATCTTAATAAATAAATTTTCGTAGATTTTGTTTTGAAAATAGTGTGTTCTGGGCAAGAAAAAAAAAAAAAAAACCAAACTAAATGAGTGAAATTCGAAGATAAATATTGTTCTATTTCAGTAAACAAAGACTTGAATTTGAATTTCACTGAAAAGAATTGATTGAGTTCAGAAACAGGATGAAATTTCAAACTTCAATTGTGTTTTGATTAAGAGCCATATATCTCCATCTCTCCTTCTCCACAAAATCTGCATCCAGAAACCTGGAAACAAACGCCCAAACCCTGTAAACATCTTCAAAATTCGTCAAAAATCCAACGCCCGCCGACACCACTGAGATCCAACAATGTCGTTTCTCGCTTCTATCCGTTCTTTCACCCTCTTCCACCACTCTCTCTTTTCTCATTTCAAACTCCTCCTCGTTCTTCTCCGAGAAACTTATCTGCTTCAGAAATCCATTGCTCAACGATATGTTGTTCCTGTCGGCTAGTTTCTGAACCATACCTGGATCCACCTTTTCCCCTTTCCAATCGAATACGTTGAATGCGACGGCCGGTCCTCGGTTGATTTGGATTTTCGGGCCGTAGATTCTCACTAGCCCTTGCCTAAACCCTTCTTCCGCATTTGGGTGTTGGAGGTTCGTCAATGCATTTGTGAGCCAATTGATCAGGTACCTTCCCCTAATGCTTATTAATCTTAGGCCTACTGAATCTGCGTGGTCCAACCCTCTGCAGTTTATTTCCATTTCTGTGTTTGTTGATCGAGCCGATTCGAGGGGCGTCCCTATTTCGACGATTCCTGTAATTGAGAGTTCTTCCTCTTCAATTTCAGCGTCCTCTCCGATTTTAGGTAAATTTGACGACTCTGGTATAGCGAGATTTTGATTTTGTAGGCCGGGTTTTGAGATTTGTTCAGTTTTGATCTCTGTACTCTCTGGTTCTTCTGGAAATGGAAATTGTGGTGATGTTGAGATAAGGCTTATAACGCCGATACTTGAAGGTGAAGTAATTAAACTCTCTATGAATGAAACATTGGATTTCTTGATGAACAAACAGCCAAATCCTGATGGGTTTTCGCCGAAAATTTTGTAGAAAGAAGAAATTAGAAATTCGGGCTTGAACAGAGAGAGGCCTAAAGTTTCCATGTCTTTTGCTCCGAGTGCGCATGTATCTAGGCAGACATCCCAGTCATTTTCCCGAGCTATGTTCAGCCATTGATATGAATATGGAGTTCCTGTTAATCTTGACTGAAGTGGAAAAACAAATATTCCCCTTTTCGACTTCCTCTTCTTCTTTCGTTTACTCACGATTAGTCTTCTTAATTTTCCGGTGGCGAGGGTTAGATTTGGCCATAAGAACTCAGCTGAGCTGATTCTAGCTCCTTTCTTCTTAGAGCTTTCTACCATCAATTCAACTGCCTCGCTCTTGTGATCATAAACTGTGACCAAATTTCTATTGTACTGAAAAGGGTAAGTGTCAGCCAGAAGTTTGAAGGCTGATGATTGATTGGCTGTGAATACCATAGCGTAATCATCTTCTGATAAATTCATAAACCTCATGATTCTACTTCTGATTCTGGACTCAAATTCTGATTCTTGACCACAATTCCCCACCTGGGTATTTGGTTTCACTGATCTATGGGAGATGTTGAAGAAAGGCGATCCCGGGGAATGCAGAAACGGAGGAGGGGAACCTGATGGAGAAGAAGAATATGCAGCAGCTGTAGCCATTGGGAAACTTTGCTGTTGAGCATAGGAAAAGAGACACTGGCCATTGTAATCTAGACAGACATGTTTGGAGAGGGCAAGATGATTGTATTCATCAGCTCGGATTTGATCGATCTGTTGTGTGTCCGGGTACAGAGGGTATGCTCTAATGAAGTAAGTAAACGCATCGTTTAGTGAAGGAATTGATTCGTGGTCGGAGAAGCGAGCATTTGGGTGAAGAGACGTTTGTGTCGCTCCATGAAAGTCGTATGCAGGAGTTGAAGCTAATGGCAGGGAAGAATCAGGAAGACCAAGAAACAGAGGTCGACAGCAGCCTCGAAGGCAGGCCTTCGAGGCCTCTCTAATACAAGGAGATTGCATATTCTGAAGTTTGATCTGCTTGGAACATAGATAAAAGGAAGCAAACTTTTTGGTCAAATAATTTAATTGTCACAACCACCTTCTGATGCAGACCAAACTACCTATCTCATTAATATGGAATATCAAAATTCAAACAAAGAAATCGTTGGATTTGTGGCTGTGGTTGTCGACATTGATGTAGAAGAAGATGGAATCTTGTCGAAACACAAGATGACAAGCAGAAGAAGGTAAGTTGGAAAGCTTGGTGATGGATGGCTCTTTCATGGTGGGCTCAAGAATTCGCTTCTTTTCAAATATCAGTCTGGAAATTGGAAAAATATCAGAGGGAGAACAAGAAGAATGGTCAATTTCAAATTCTTATGTTATCAACGCGTTCAATACGACATGTCGTATTCGTTAAGTTGTTTGATTATCACATCACAAGCTTGAACAGAACATAAAAGACACAAATTATAGCTTCTTTTTCTTAAGACTTTGGACAATATGATGATATATCCGGAACCTTTTTGACCAACGAAAAGTCTAAGATATTTGTATGGAATTATTGCCTTTCTATATCAATTTCAAGCTAATTTCAACTTTTTTTTTTTTTTTTTTTTAGGGCAACTAGTAGTTATACCATTTGTGTTGGACCTTCTTGATTAAGGTCGACCTTCTTAAATAGTGTCATACCATTATATGAAATGTCAAAAGTCTCTTTTTAGTTCGTGTTCGTAATAAATACGATTAGGGGTGTAGTTGTAAAGAGGGTCCATGTTCATCCCTAGAAGACAGGGCACCATCCCATCCCATTCCAGCAATAACTCACTCACTGCTATCAATATACATTTAGGTGTTTAAGCATGGAGAGAGGAGAAGCATTACGTAGCAGCCAAGTAACAATTTTGGACAAAGTAATCGTTAGTGTTAAAGAGTATCAGAGGGATATAGATATCAACTCTTGTCTTGTGCCGCCAAGCCAACGCCTAGTGCCCAGGGAACAACAACATGACTACAGACACACCTCATCGACGTTCTAGTAATTCTTCTGCGTCTCTATCAACTAGTTTCTGATCTTCAAGTCCCCAAAATGATAAGTTTATTGAATTTGTTAAAAGGGTCCTTCTCGCTCATAAAAAGTAAAGTAAAGGAAGTGTTCAGTATATGATGTTTGTCCTAGGAAATATGATGCATTTATTAGACATTTTGGTAGACACGGTGTGTGTTGACATCACCTCATCCTAATAAGAAAAGTTGCGGAAAAGGGCGAATGGAGTCGAGATACTTGAACACAAATCCTTGAAGGTGCAAATATGAAAGAAATTTGAGAAAAAGAAAAGGTACTCGTATTTGTACCTGCTACAACTACTCAACAAGAGAAGCTCCAAAGAAGAAGAGTGCTGGATTGAAGGTAGTTTGGGGGTTGGAGGAAGAAGGCTGTTGATGTTTTGATGGATAAACAAGTTGAAAGCAAAGCAAAACCAGACGAAGGGCAACTCTCCTTTGGCAGGACATGAGAGAAAGAGACATGCCTGCCTGCCAAATGAGAGAAGCCCTTCCCCTAGTTGGCTTAGTAGTATTACCTAACAATAATAATAATAACAATAATGTAAAAGCATATGCAGCGCCACGACTGAGTGAGCTTTTTATAGGGAAACTCAAAAACAATATTGGATCATCAGCATATGCCATTGGATATCCTTTTCTTTCCCCACGCATTATTCCCATTCCTTCCATCGATATACATTTGAGCTTCCCTTTTCTCTTCCATATAACAACAGAACATCTTTTATAGATTCTTCCGGCTCTTCACCCTAATGATTTCGACCCATCATCCTTCTCAACTCCCTCTCCCTCTCCCACAGCAAAAATAAAAAAGAAAATGAAGGGGAAAAGATGCCATATTCCTTACTTCACAACTAAAACTGGATATCCTATGTCATATTCCTCTTCCCTTTTCTTCCTTCTCTAAATTATCATTTTTTCTTCAAACTTGAAAACTATCTTATTTTGCTTCTAAAAATGCTTTGGGTATTATCAAACAGATTTGTTACTTAAGTTCATTTTTATGTTTATAATTAGACCACTCTCAAAATACACCTGAAGGGTATGCTTCTATAAATTTACCTCCATTATTATTACTTAATGTGATGGGCTTTAGTGGGAGGTGATATGAATATTAGCCACTTGGATTCCACATATTTATTGGAAATAATATAATCGAAGGAAACGGAAAGAGATTACTTGATATAAGTTTTCTTAAATTGGTTATTTAGTTAATTTGAGTCTTCACTCTTTTATATAACTACTTTTTAAATGTAAGTCTAGAAGTTTAGAACATTAATAAAAATACATTTTTTTACTTCAATAGTATTTGAAGATAAAGATTGAAGATTCGAGTTTGATATATACTCCGTTTCTGATAATTAAACATATGACAGAAGTGTAAGAGTCGGTTCCAGAAGAATCATGAAAAGTGGAGCCATCAACAACCCATAAAGAATCCACTTCTAAAACCCTATATTCGGACCGTGCCCAAAATATTGATCACATCCATCTAATTCTTCGATCCCCACGATTCAATTGTGCGATGTTGCATTAATTCACGAATGTAACACTTATTTATGTAAATAAAACGTGCAATCTTTTAAACCAACTACAAATTTTCAGTAGTACAAGTACAATTCAGCAGAAAGACTGTCCCTCCCTTGCAAGACCCAAAAGTAAATTTCCTAGCATTGGATGAGATTACAGTTTGCAGTCCCTACACTTATTGTAGCTGAACCCACAGGAAAGGAATGGAGATTCACTCCCTCTTTTGCCAACTAAATTTGGACCATTCGTTTGCATTTCCTATTTACAACTCACTCAACTTAAATGAGTGGTCCAAAATCTTTCAGCTTTTCCAATAAACAGGGCATTAAGGCATGTGGATGGGAGAAGAACAATAAACTTCAGTCAAAATCTCACAAATTGGCGACTTACTGACAAATCATTTCTACTTATTTTCAGAGACCAAAGCCTCTCTATCCCACATGCAAAATAAGAAACAAGCATTCCATGTACGTTGAGGAGCAGGGCCAAAATATGAGAGCAATAAATCCAAAATCCAATAGATGTTCTAAACGAGATAATTCCGGGCAAGACATTGAAGAAGGAATGGACACGGTGAAAAGAATTAAGGATTTTGATGGATAGAAGAAACCTAATGCTATCACTATCAGTATAGAGAGTTGTATGTGTAGCAGGTAGAAACAATGGAGACTACACAAATAAGGAGAGAGGGAATGAGAGTAACGTTCAAGAGCCTACTTCGGCCCAAATAACCAGCAAGGGTTATAGTTCCATCTGCAATCACTCGTGCAATAGTCCCGGCTTCAGTTGATAGCAATCCACCATTATAGGTTCCACGCGAGAGCCGAGATGACATGACTCGGGAGAGAAGTGCCAGGTTCACACCTGTGTAAGACATGATCAAAAGCAAAATTGTGTCATTAACAGAAGAAAATAAGAATAAGAATCATCCTTTGATTTCCTCAAGGATAAAGCTTGACGTGGTTCACTACAATGAAAATAACAATCCTAAACCAAAAAGATAACATATAATCCTAATAAGATGCATGAGTTTCCAGAGGCCGAGTTCAGTAAGTAACTTTTGACATTTCGTGGATTCATTGTTTTCTCTTATTGGACACCAATCCCTTTCATGTTCTGTTTTTCTGGAACGCTTTAAATAGTAATCAGCAACTTTATAGCCACAATCAAATATCATTAGAAGCGGAAGAACATTTTGAATTAATTAGAAGTGTTCTTAAATTGCGGTCAACTTTCAGTAAACTCCTCACCTTCAAGCACTTCTGCCGCCACGAACATGATAAGTCCAGAGCCAACATATTGAACCACAGAGTATGGAATTATTACATTGAAGCTTAAGAGGATGCCTATCAAGACGATAATTTCAGAAACCAATAGTATTTGCCTGCAAGGTAGATATTGAAATCAAATACGTAAGAGAGAGAAGTTACCAAAGAGATAACTTGAAAAATCGAGGGAAGGAAAACTTAATACATTTTCCCCATATCCCATTGAAGTATTACCTGTCTTCAAACATGTTGCTAATGTAACTACCGACAAGGATATTTACTGGGAGAACTGTCAGGCCAAGGCAAGCCAGAAAAATTGCCACAGAGCTTGTGGACCAACCAAAGTAGTATGTGGTAACAACACTAGACTCCGAAAGTAGAATTTCCATTGCATATTTGAGCATGAAATATATCAACAATTGAACCTGTAGACATCAAATCTTCATTTAAAATATGATGACATGCAAACTCAAAAAGAAAAGGTGTCATTTAAAACAAAAGTGTCATTTACAACAGTAGCTAGATTGCTATATGTCCTTAGGACGTGAACACATTGTTCAGTTGTAATATCCCAAGGGAATTATTAACAGTTCCAATGTCGGTTTTATCCATATCCGTTTCGGACAGAGTGTGGCAATTTGTTGAGAGCATTTTAAAGTAGCAGATTTCCGCTGACAGCATTATTCAGCAGGTATTCAAATTTCATGTCCGTAAATAAAACTAGATTGTCACCAAAAGTTAAGCCACAAACTCAAAAATTCACTGAAAACCATTGTTGGCATGAAAAGACGGGCACTTTAGTCACCCAATTTCCATTACTTGATTCAAATTATCTCAAGGCTAACACCAAATTATCAATCATGCAATTTAATGATAATGAACGATGTGAAAACCCAAGTACTCTCTAGACTACAGCAGATACCTTAACAGAAGGAGTGAGTAATCTATAAGCTGAACTCATAGAAGTCACTGGTAGGCGAGATTCCTCAGCAGCTTCTTCACTGTCATCAACTTCTGGGTCATCTTCATCTGATGGCTTCTCCAGTGAAGTAATAAGCAATGGTTGGTGAAGACCTTTCTCAAGTGTGTCGTTTTGAGCTGTTCATTGAAATTGACAACATATATAAAAGTTAGCATGTTTTGACAATGTGTGAAATAATTGATTTAGCTGAGAGACCTAAGACAAAAAATTGAAGGTTTAAGTACTTGGTGAAGCACAGTGACCTATTAAATACAAACGTAACTGTTAAAGGTCTAAACTTGCAATTTAACTTAAAATAAATTATTATCCTTCAAAAGAAAAGTGCAATTAGATGTCCTAGTGAAGCAATGGAAAGTTTCAATTGAACCAGATAAAATTTATTCTTCCTTTGCAAAAAAAACACATCAAGGCAACTGGTGGACGCAATAACAAACGCGCACTTGACCTTACCATATGGAAGTGCCCACCAAAAAAAAAAAATGATAAATAAAAATGTAATGCCATTCATGTGAACATTTATCAGGTTAAACAATTAACACATAAAATTACCTTGACTTGATTCCTGTTGAGTATTTTCTTCATTTTCCCGTGAAGGTTCACGAAATGAGATACACAACCATACTAGATATATTAGCCAAGCCACAGCCATAACCCAACCAGGCAAAGTGTTTTGATTAAAAGTTAGCTTGTAAATCTTAAACTTCGTTTGAAGTAATCCGGCAAGAGCTGGTCCACAAGCCATTCCTAGAGCACTGGCACTAACAAAGCCTGCAGATGCTTGCATGCGAATTTTTAGTGGCACACAGTCACTGATATAACGTCTATTAACAGCCCGAGCAGAACCTAATCTGCATTAGAAAAATACAGTTCTGTCAAACGTCATAAATACTTGTTAAGATCTCCCGACACTGCTTTGACCCCACTAAAGACACCAGGGAGAGTTCAAAGTCAGTTCTAGATTTTCGAGTCTCCTCAGAATATTTGTGCCACACCAATATACCAAGATAGTGTCAACCATTTCAAAAAAGACTATTTCTCATTTCATGTAAGCTATAGCAAAGTCTTTATATTTTGAAGACGGCAAGTAACCTTGAGCTTAAACTGGATTCTGAATTTTCCTATTTTCTTAAGGTAGATAAGACTGATGAAGTAAATTTCCATGATTAGGCCAAATCCATGGTAAAACGAGGAGAACCCTCCAGTATCTCTAATTCTTTTAATTTATTAAGTCCAAAAGCTCCTTAACACAATCAAGGCCTGGCTATTTAGACTTGCCAGAAAATGGAACTGACAAATATTAAAGCACTAATGATTAAATTAACTAAACATTACTAAAATGATTAACTCAACCAAAACAAGTCAACGTTTATTATTTATTTCCTACACCAAATTTAAGATCAAAACTGCACATCAGCTGAGAGACACTAGAAACCTTAGATTATGGGCAGTGCATATCAGCTGAGAGACATTAGCAACCTTAGACTATGGGCACTCAGATACCATCGAGAAATGGGAAAGTATGTCTAAATGGAATGGCCCATATATGAAATAACAAATAATTTAGGGCAATTCGGAGAAGTCATTTTCTCATTGGTTCTGATTAGTGACATGCCTGGTAGAAATTTTGGAGAGGTGCAGACACATGGAGTCAATGGTCATATGAGGTTCTGAATGCAAAAGAAAAAGACATCCCCAAAGGGCAGTTCATATGGACCTCTAAAGCACGTTGAGCATTAATTTATGATGAGAAAGAAAAAACGTAGACATCATATGAGCTGTATTCTAATTAACTATACAGTAAAGAAATAAATAGTGATAAAAGAATAAAATAAGAAGATAAAAAAGAGATTACCTACCCACAGCAAAGACGCCCAATCAAAAGAACCCAGAGTGATTGAAGATCATAAGCAAGAGCATATAAGAGGTTCCCGAAAAAGAGAGCAACACTGCTAAATATTAGAGGTCTGAAGTAAGATCTGTTTGACCATGCACT